AAATAATACCATTATCAGTCCATGATCCACACAACTCGATGATTTCGATTCATTGTCAAGTCGATAAAAGAACAGATCGAAGAAAGCATTTAAAACAGCGTTACCTCGATAGACGTAGGCGTTGAAGCCGGTCTTGTTCAGGTAGCTGTCCGATTGGAACTTCACCGTCATCAGATCGCCCGCCTTTATCCACGCCTGTGTGGAATTCGAGAAGCACAGCGTTTGCAACAGAGTAGCGCTGTTCTCGGTCGCCAGCGCGTTCCCGTCGTAGACGGCGACGAAATCTGCCGCGCAATCGCTCGTTTCTTCCAAGCTCATTGCCAGTATCCTCAACATCAAGTGAGTTCCCGGCGGAGAAATGAAAATCCAGGCGCAACGAAGATTATTGTCGTAGCCGTTCGGCCAGCCAGGTGAATTGAATTCGTAGCTGCTGTTCTGCACGTCTGTTAGGGCCACTTCCACGTTGCACTCTGACACTGTTGTTGCAGAACGCGAGGGGATTACGTTAGAAGGATTAAGAAAGTTTCAAAGGAGAAATTAGTTATCGAGTGACTGCAATTTCCCGAGTATTGTCCTTTCTGTTGTTCCGTGAGACTGTTCGTCACTGAACAACTTTTATTCTTGGGCAATTTTCCTAAACGTGGAAAAGGATTCCACTTTTCATTCTGTTTTAAAAGAGAGAGAGAGAAAAATGAAAATTTTAGCAAATAGATCTTCTGCAAGATATAGATCCAAAGTTTTTTGTTGTATTATATAAATGTTTATATAATACGAAAGAGATGGGAATAATACTCTTAGTAAAATAAAATAATTGGACGAAGAAGCTTTCAATACTCTAAGTGTTAATAACGTTAATGACTGATACGAACTTACGTTCATTGTAGACATTTCCCATATAGATATCGTCGACGTTTTTCGGTATTTCGAGCCAGTTGAGAGCGAACCAGTTGCCTCGCTGAAGGCCAATGTTAATCATGGTCGAAAATTGTATATTGACTACGTTACTGGACGATGTGATGGGCTCGGGCACATCAATGCCGCAAGCATCTAGCAGAACAGGCGCCTCGTTGTTGTAACCATCGTACACCTGTCCAAAGCACACGAGATCGAAGTTTGTTTCAAACGTGTCTGGTTATGCGGTTTCCAAGCTGTTACCATTTGAATGCTATAGCGATATTTCTCTATCAATTCGTTTATCTTCATTTGCACGAAGTAAAGCTTGAGTACACTAGAGTTTCTATATTACATGCGTGTGATACACACAGTGTAACAACATGTAAAGTTTTGATGTAACAATCCTTAAAGAAATCCTTAAAGAAATCAAAAGTCTATTTCCTTGGGAACGGAATCTTAAATCAAAAGATTTCACTTATTTTTCACACGCACGTAAAATATCCTCCAGTAAGAAATTCACCAAATTCCAGCGTACTTGAAAACAAGAGAAATACCACGACTTTATGAGAAACAAAGTCTTAAATGAAAAGCGAGCTATTTCTTCGCGCTCTACTATGAAAACTGACCTCCTACAAGTTCGCATAAACAGACTGCCACGGTACTCACCCTGAGATAGGAGAAGCACATTGAACTAAAATTCTCGGCGTATAGATCAGTGATCTCGATTCGAATGGTCGATCCGAACTGCACGGTGATCCTCCACGAGAGTGTCTCCTCCTTCCTGTAAGGAATCGGATAAAGCGGCGAGGTGATTCTTCCTATCGGCCCGCTCAGCTCGTCGCCGCCAATCAGTTTGAATTCAGCCGCGAATCCTTTGCCGACGTCGTCGCCGTCGCTCTTGAACTTCATCCACAATTTCTTCGTCGTACGGATCGTTTCCGTGCTCGTTCCGCAGAACGTATTGATCAACTTGCCGATCCCGCTGTCCTCGCGTATCTCCACATAATCCAAATTGCAGTTCTCGCTCTGCTGCAGCTCGAAGTCGGTGAAAGTCAGGCTGAGTTTGTTCCCGGGCGAGTTCTCCAGGATCCAGATGCACTCGGCGTTTAAGGGGTAGCTGTTGGGATAGTTCGGCGAGGCGATCATTCCCTCGTACGAGTTGTACGTTCCGCCGCATGCTGCAATTCAATCGATCCGGCAAACGTTAACGTTTCAAGCTTATTGGCTATTGATTGGTCGATCCGAAATATTTTCTAGTGGCTCCAGAAATTTCATTGACGTCGTAACACGATACTCTAGCGTCGCGATTGCATTGAAAGCTTGAAATAAATTTTTAAAAAAAGCATGTAATAGTTACGGAATGTTGGAGCAAGTACAGTTACTCACGAAAGTATTCGAACATTTCTAGGAAATTTTTATAAATTATATTACGCAAGATATTTTGAAATCTCATTAATACTTTCGTAATGAAACTCGTATGTGTATCGTGATTATATTGATTAAATTTCAGACAAGTCTATTACAGGCACATATAGACCGTGGATGCAGATAAAAGAAAGTTTAAAATTTAAAATCTACATGATGCCAATTTTGAACGTTCTCTTGTCTGTATATACCGTACAACATATATATAACGATGTGCACAAAATTCATAAAAATTCGCAGTCTATTCTACTAAAAATACAGTCAACGTTGAATCCTTTATGAGTTGATGTGTTGTTGCGTTTAAACTAGCAAAAGTATCGGAAAGTCTACCAAGATGCCAGAAACGATAAACAGAAGTTGCTTACCTGAATTTAACACGGTGTAAGTGAAGGAAACGTTTGCAAAAGTGAAACTATGGAGATTTACTGTGAGCGCGTTCCCGTTGCTGGTTATCGGCAAAGGTATAACGTTGGACATCCATTTGCCTCGAGACGGCCCGTCCACACCTTCTCCGTCAAACACTTCTACGTAGTTCCAACTTTCGCTCCTCCCCATATCCAAATGCGTGAACGTCACAGTGACATGGTCAGCTGTTTCCAAGAATTAATTTTATTTGAAATTCTTGTCGTTTTTTGTTTTTTGCGAAGTTAACGTCGCGGTTAAGTTATTGACAGTTTACGTATGGAATTTGTTCAGTCACAAGTTACAAACACAATCAATGACAAACTAAATCCGAATTAAATTTTCTCGAGAAAATTCGTTTCGTTGCAAAAGGGAAAGACTTCATTTCTCATCACTCGTACACGTGTTACAATTCGATGAAATTTTACCTGGATCCTCGGCGATCAATATCCACGCACAGTTCCAGTTATCGTTCGAGTCGGTGGTGTAACTTGTGGATGGCACGATGTAGCCCTGATCGCGCACAACTATGCGAGCACCGCAAGCCTTGTGATACGACGCTTTGAATCCTTTCGCTGATAATATTCTGTCCGTCTTCATAACAACTAACATCTCGTTGCTGGTCGTCACGTAGGAAGGTGGCAATTCGTTTCGACAGTGGGTGCCCAACAACCGTGAGTCAGTCGTCGGTCCGTCGTATATCTGTCGAAGAAATCACAATTTTCCATTAGTTTCATCTATTGTTTGAAGTTGATCTTTTAATTTCTTGCAGACACAGTTTACTAATTATCCATTAATGTCATCTTCGATTTTATTTGCGAATTTTTAAACTTGTTCGTGAACAATCTTCCCTAGCTTAGCGTTGTTGCCTTGTATTTTTTTAAATTTTTCGATCTATTTATTCACGTTTATTCGGACAAAGAATCCTTCGATACAAGAATAAATAGGAAGGTAGCCAAAAGTAAATAAAGTGGAAGTTGGCAAATATAGAAAATCAGTGAACTATAATAGAATATTAAATTATAAGAAATAACTATTTGGCTAATATTTCAAGCATTCTGTTTTCGAAAGATGCAAGAGGACTAGGGGTGAATTAAAGAATCTAAATGAGTATAGAGAAGGTCCTAACAAAATCAGAGGTATTTGAGATAAAGAAGATAACGTTAAAGTGGAAGACGTTTCTTTATCATTTAGTTTAGTATTCTTCTGTTGTGTGCCTAACCTGAACATAATCGTCGGTACAATTCGTGGTGTCCTCTATATCAAAGTCCAAGAACGTGATGTTAACTACGTAATTCGGATCGACTTGTATCAGCCATTTGCAATTCTGTCTGTTCGGATAGTTCTTCGGATAATTTTTCGAGAATATGATGCCCGTGTCGGTGGTGAACCTGCCACCGCAGGTAACGGGTACGCTTCTGTAGCTGGCGTTGAATCCTCGCGTTGCGTACGCCATATCCGACTGGAACGTAATGAACATCGTGTTCCCGAAGCTGGTGTACACAACAGGTTTCGGCGAATAACAAATTTCCACTAACTTCGGCGCGTTCGCGTCCTCGCCGCTGTAAATTTTCACTTTATCGAACATGCAGTCT